CTAACTTGCCTATAGAGATAAGATTAACATTAAAGGAAGGAATGTAGAGGATATTATGCAAGGTTAAGGAAGATATGATAATAATTAAACCAGATAATGAGGCAGAAAGTTGAAATCCATCAGGTAAATTAACAGATATTGGAACAATGGATTTACAATTAATAAAAGCTGAAAGATTGAAAGAAATATGATATGTGGCATCAGTGTCTAAGATCCATAGATTAAGAGACTTACCATTGACACTAGATGAATGAGAATTCATGATATAAGGGGAAGTAGAAATCGAGTTGGTTGTGGAAGGAAGCTTGGATTGCTAAAGTAGGGCAAGGATCTTGTTGTATTGCTCCTCAAAAAAACCATAGGAGGAAGGAGTGGATCCTGATGTAGGATTTTCTAAAGCACTACTGATGGTGACAGTAGATTGGGAATCTAAACCATTTCCTTTGCCTTTGTTCTTAAAATCTGGTGGATATCCATATTTGATGAAACATGTATCAATGGTGTGATTGTTTCTCCCACAGTGAGTACAAATACGATTCTGTCCTCTAGAGCCATTGTTTCCCTGATACTTGCCTTTGTAATAATGAGGTTTACATGTGCAACATTATGCCCAACTTGAACATTCAAAGCATTGCTTTCTTCAGTGTTTCCAATGCTAGGTATAATAGCAGATACAACACTATTCATCTCCCTTTCTTGTTGAATAACTAGAGAAAAATCTTTATCGATGTCCCGTAACAGATTCATCATCATAATTTGAGACTTGGAGTGAGTGAATTTCTCATTAAATCCCTTAAGAAAATGTATCACATAATCTTGTTCCCGATGACGATGAATAGACACAATAGTACCACAAGAACAAGGAATCGCACATGAAGAAGATGGAATTGGTCAATAATTCTCCAATTCATCCTATAGCACTTTCAGATTCGTAAATTAATTAGATACATACCTTGGCGAAGTTTGTATAAATCTTCTTGAATGTCACAAATGCAGAAGATATCGCTGTGAAAAAACCTAATATGAAAATTATTCCATAAGCCGAAAACACTATCAATCCAAAGCACCGATCTTGCAATTGATTTAGAAATAAAGCGCTGAATCTAAGCAAGAACCGTTGTATTGTATCAAATCCATGAAGCCTAAAGAGGATCTGACACAATAGGGTTGAGAAGAGAACCGTCGATGGAGTTTTCTTTTTTCTTGGATATCAAAGCAATGTGTATCAATCAAGACCACATATGGTAGTTTTTATCATCGAGCAATGGGGAAACAAGAACAATTGTAGGGTAATCATTTAGATGAAGATAGTAAGGGTTTGCATAATTAGTATTGAAATCAATGAAGCTCTGAGCAGCCATTGAAGCAAGAATGAAGATAATAGAGAAGATGAAGGTGACAAAAACAATAAACAATGGCTACCAGAGCTATATAAGCTCTGATACCATGTCAATGATAAAGAAACTCATCATGGAGAGGAAAGAAACTGTTGCATTCAAGAAGGAAAAAGGGAAGAGAAAATAGAGTACTGAAAGAAAAGTTTTATTACTGTTTCATTGAATAATGAAAATAGATACAAAGACTATTTATATATACAAAGAGAATGTATCTCCAACTAACTACTCACTAATCTAGGTATATTCAATAATACACTAACTATATACAAATGTATATCTAATAATAATGTCATATTTTAACATCTTCTAAAATATGGAGGTGGATTTAGCCAAGGTTTCAGTAGATATAAAAAATGTGACGTGGAGATGACTTCGATACAAAACATCAATTGTCCATTTCTCTTTATCTCATTGGATAGCAAACCCTTTACCGAGCTTAAATCTAACTCAAGGGAGACTTTTTTTAATCAAATATTGTTACTTTAAGAAGCTCTGTGTTGTGTCTTCTAGTGTTTGCTGGTTGTGCATAATTTCAAATCAATCATTCTAGCGCTTTTATTGTTGAAGTACATGTCTCATTATAGATGTCTGTGTATGAGAGATCATATAATGTAGTTGTGATTTTCGATGTTTCATTTGTGATTTGGCCCATGTTTTGAGTGTATATGCTTTAATGGAGGCATTGTTTCAATTGTTTTTTCCTTCAAGTTTCTGATTTAGGATTGAGCCTAAATTTGTTGATCAGGTGTTATTTTCTGCTAACTCTTGGTAGTTGTTTAAGTTTTTTAGGGATTGTAATTATCAAGGATTAGAGCCTTTATAATTATATTTGTTAGCTCTATTTTGATTGTTGTTTTGGTGGATTTTGAATTGATTCATCTTTGTAACAACTTGTTGATTTTGGGTGTATCTGTTGAGAAACAAGTGTGAGTTGTATTGAGAAAAAAAGTGTGAGTTGTAAGTTCCATATTGATTGAAAAGTGGAGGTTGAGAACTTTATAAGTGAGATGACCTATACGTCTATCACCTTAAGGTTTTAGGTGAATATGTGGTGTATCTCCCACTTGTTTGAGTGGTTCTTTGGTTTTTAGGTGAGTGTTTGACCCAATGTGATTGTTTCCCCTCATGATAACCCATCAGTGGTATCAGAGTCTGGTTTGAGAAAGGGACTGATTTCTTATGTCGAGTGTCTTCTTGACATGGTGGTCAGACAATGTGTTCTGTTGAAGTTCCCATGACGAGATAAGGGTGTATGTCAATGGCAGTACACACATGACACTACAACATTTAGGCTCTCCAGCAACAATTGAAAAATGTAGCCATAACTCTAAAAATCGTTGCCTAAAACAATAGGGGACGTTTTCTAGGTGTCTCCTGTGCGAGCGTTGCCTATTGTTTGAGGCGACGTTTTTTTATGTTTTTTGGGAACGCTTTTGAAAAACGTCGCCTATAGTAAAGGAATAGGGGACAATTATTTACGGCCTCTGAGACAATGTTTTTTAAGCGTTGCGTTGCCAAATTCGGCTACAATTAACAATCGCTGCCTTAAACCTGAATCAGGAAGATCGTTTTTGAAGTGTAGCCATAGCTTATAGGTTGTTGTTTTATAGTGTCCACATAAAATATACAATTTTGCAATTATTATCAAAATAATATAGTCAATAATAATTGGCTTCAAAAATAATATTGATTATATAACTTAAACCATACATCCATAAAAGTTGTAATATAATAAAATCGAGTTCATACTTTAATTCAAGATATAGTATATAGAGTACACAAAATGCCTAACGTAACAATATTACTTTTAATACTTTGAAGTATGACCCTAGTAAAATAACTAAAAACATAGTTCAGCAAAAGAACAAAAATCATATTTCAAGTTTAATGCTTTCAACTACAAGCCAAAAAAAAGACATCATCCAACTCATTTAAGTTTTTCTTCTAGGAGTAAAGCATCCAGATCGTCCTCTTGAAATTCGTTAGATATGTCATCCTCCATAAATTCTTCATCTACGTCGTCCTCTTGAAATTCACCATCTATATCCTCCTCTTGAAATTCATCATCTAGATCTATGTCGTCCTCTTGAAATTCGTCATCTACGTCGTCCTCTTGAATTTTATCATTTAGGTCGTCCTCTTGAATTTTATCATTTATGTCGTCCTCTTGAATTTCATCATTTATATCGTCCTTTTCAACATCTTCATTGATACATTGCTGCATAAGAAAATAAAATAAAACACATTAACCATAAGTATTTTTGGTCCAAAGGACAATTAAGACATCAACAAGAATTAAACCTCGCACAAATAAAAACTAAACTAATGAGCAAAACACATTGTTTATATTCTTCACATCTCATGGATGTGAATTAATTATGAAGGTTTTTAATGGATGTGAATTTTCATTCTAAACTGTAATAGGTGACATGAGCTTACTAGCAAATAAATCAATTATGAAAACCATTCTATTTTTGGCTCACTATTCAGGACTTACAATAGCCTTTAACTGTATGTATGTATGTATGTATAACTTGTGCTATCCTTTTATGTTTATTTTTTGGAGTAAATGAACTCTGATGAACACTCTTACTTGTTGTATCTTCTTTGGTGTTCAGTATCATATGGATAAATTTACAGCATACATAGTGAGTGTTATCAAACAAGGGGGTCCCATAATCTTATCCCAGGCAAGTATGTTTGTGAAATATCAATGAAAGCTCGCACAAATAAAACAGTTTCAGCCACTTCTAGGTGTTGTCACTACTTAAACAATTTCAACCACTTACTTTATTCTAGGTGTTGTCACTACTTGCAAATTTTTGCATACATTAACAACCATTTTGATACTATAACATAATTAGAAAAATATAAATCAATAATATTGGTATATATGGTTACCTTTCCATGACATGGAGCATGAGTTGATGTAGATGAATGCATTTGTGGTCTTATATCCTTTGGGGAACTATTAGCATCTCCATGAGATAATCCTAACAAATCTTCAATTGACTCTATATTAATTTGAGGATTGCATTGTTGTATTACGGTCTTAAAAGCATTTTTCAATCTATCAATCTTATCTTGAAACTCGTCCCTTAATGTAGAGACCTCTTCACTGTGGGCTTGTTTCAAAGCATTAATCTCTGCCTTTCTCTTTAAGGAAGTTTTAGTTATGTTTCTCCCATAACAGCGTACCCTGCCTGGACACTCTTTTCCAAAAAAAACTTTAAAAGCTTCTGTATCACTTTCCTCCTTTTCAACCATTTCTTGAAGTTGGGACTAGCATAAATTACAACAAAAAAAAATATTAGCTACTATTATAGACAATGTTGGCCGATTATATTAAGCAAACGTATTATATAAACAATGTTACATACAATTACTTTTCCAGTTTCTACATCCAGTTCCTTTCCTTTATTTCCTTTTCGAGTTTCAACAAACATTTCTGATTGAGTGGGCTCTCTTTTTTCCTTTTCACGCGGCACAAATCAAAATAATTCCATAACAAATTATGTGAATTAAAATTCCTATTCACGAGTCAAAGAAAAGTTTTTCACGAATACTTTAATTGAACAAAGAAACATTCATACAAGGAATAATTTATTGAGAACAAAAGAAAGTTACCACTTTTTCACGAGTCAAAGCAAAGTTTTTGGGACCCATTCGATGCATCCACTTTAGTTGAGCTCTATTTCTAGTGTTATTTTCACTGATTGCCTACATTTAAATTTGACAGAATTATTATAATAAATATTACTTAATTATGGCATACATAGAAAGGTGTAAATTCACACACATACATAAAAAAATTATTAATCTTACTTGTATAGTTTCCTTACTCCAATAAGCACAAAGACTCTTAAACTGGGCTATTGGCACGTTTGGCGGACGATTTTTGAGTCTCTCGGTCATGTTGGAATACTTCAAAAAATGATTCTTCTTAATTTTGTGCTTATATCTTCTCCATGCCTCTCTAACAGTGGTCTCAATCCAATCTCGTGCTTCAACCGGCAAGATAAACTTCCGCTACATAAATTATAAGATAAGACAAGATCAAGAAATGAAACACTTTTTTTTAATAATTAGACTTTCAAATTCATAGATAAAAACATACATTAGTATATCTCCAGAAACGGTTTTTATTATCATCTGGCATTCCTGACCAATTGGTGTAACGTAGGGGACAAAATGTTGAGTTCCTAGCCAATGTTCCCAAGAAGAGGCTCAAGTCAGATACTACTTTTTCACTAGGACCAATTGGCTGAAAATCCTCATTAAAGGTCACTTCTACTCGCTCTTCCAAAGTTCTTGCATGAATCTTTTTGCACAAAGTTTTCCCACGAGTTTTTCTTTGGGATGTTTCTATAAAGTAATAACACAACAACATGATATCACATGTTTGCTACCAATATGTAAATAATACATGAAATCATTATTATGAAATATGAAACTAATTACCTTTTTCTTCTTCTCTATTTGTGATTGCATCTTCTTCGTTGACTTTTGCCCGATTTTGAACACTTTCTTGTCGAGTTCCTTTTTTTGATTGATTTTGATTAGAGCTACGGTTAACGCTGCTGCCCGATTTTTCACCATTGTTTGACTTGGTTGCATCCATTTCCTTTGACTTGTGAAGATCTACATAATCATCAATCAACATTGATGGGCATTTTGGCACCCTGTTTAGCTTTTGAGAGCATTCAGCTTTTGACATCATTGTGTCCAAAGATAGAGTAGATTTCTATGGTTTCTTATTTTTGGAAGAAATAAGTATTCTCCTTGCAACTGGTTTTTCCACCTTTTGAATTTTATCTCTATTGTTCTCTAGTAGATTCTCATGAATTATTTTTTTCATCATTCCTGGTTTCAATATAATTTTCTCGTCATAATAATGTCATGAAAAGAAATATATAAATTTAAAGTATATGCAGGGATATTAACTACCTTGTGAAACTTCTTTGTTTCCACGTGCAAGAACTTCCTTAGCTTGTGGTTGCAAAAGCTTAGGTCTCTCTGCTTTCTTCATAGCAATGTGGTTGTCCAATTTTCCATCAACCTTTTGAATTCTTTCTCTATTCACTGTAGCTTTCACTTGAGTTCTTTTCTTTGGTGTTTCTAATTTTAGTAAAAATTCACCAAAAGATATTAGGAATAATTTCATGTAATATATGCATAATAGAAAAATTTAAAAATCACTTACCTTGTACAACTTCTTTGTCACCATGTGCATGATCTTTCATTACTTTTGGTTGCGAGAGTTTGTCTATCTCCATTTTCTTTGCAATAGTCTCTTTGTCCAAATTGTGATCAACCTTTTGAACTCTTTCTTGTTGAGTTCCTTTTTTTGGTGTTTCTAATTTTTGTAAAAATTCATTAAAAAACAGTAGGAATAATATATCTAAAGGAATTCCAAAACATAACTTTAACATACATCATTTAATATAAAATCAAATGAAACAAGAAAATGATTTACCGTCCACAACTTCTATAATTTCCTGAACCCTTTCTCTATTGTTTCCCTGTAGCATCTCATGTAACTTGTCAATTTTTTCTTTCTTAACATGTTGTAGCACTTTCTTTGTCAATTCTGCACTTGATCTGACTTGAAGAGGAAAATCAAATCTTTTAGTAGGACTTCGACCACTCCTCCTATGTGATCCACCATCTTTTACACTTCTTACATTGTCCATTATGGCCAACAACTATGATCTACAAAGGGAGAAAATTACATAATTAAATAATGAAAAATTGAGTATAAATTGACATTATGCATAACCATAAATTAACAGTATATTTGAATCTAGTTTGTTATGGTTTAAGTAAAAAAATGACAGCATGCGTAACCATAAATTAAACTTTGAATCATAATCAGTACTAGAAACACATTGCCAATGCTACCTAATCAGTACTAGAATCATAATCGGTTTCATCGTCACTTCCATAACTCGTGTCACTATGATCACTCTCTATTGCTTTTTGGTTGTGAAGTTCTGACAAAGGAATTTCAAAGATATCATCCGGCAAATCTTTCCTAACCAAATCCACTTCACAATCATCCCTTAATGTATTAAGATTTGTTGAAATATCATATTCTTGGGCATCTGTACTTAAAGATTCTCCCATGTCAAATGATTCCCTTGGAAGTGCATTTAGAACATAGTGTTTGTTTTTGTTTAAAGGATCTTCAATAAAGAAGCATTGTTGAACTTGAGATGCCAACACAAATGGATCATTTTTGTAGCATTTTTTGTTAAAGTAAACCAACGGCGATCCATATTTATCCTTTTCATCCACAAACCAATCACATTTGAACAATACATATTTTTCATGACCATAATAATCTAACTCTATAATATCTTTTATTTCCCCATAGTAAGTCACACAAATCTTTTTGGGATTTTCATCCTTCGCATTTCTAAGAACTTGGGTCACCGCTTCTAATGTCACACCACTATTTTGTGTTTTAAGCCTTGCTTCACGATTTGTTGTATGAAACCTGTATCCATTAATAACATAACCAGAATACCTTCTAACAACATCATTTGGTCCCGTAGACAACACCTTTAACCATTCAGTAACTTTCTCATCCATGAGACGTGTTTCAAACCATTGAATAAAATCTTCTCTTTGATTGTTAGCTTTTCTGGACTTCCTTTTTTTTAGAGGATTATGATCATTAACCTCATGCTCTCTACAAAATAAATAACTAATATTTTAATACAAAAGAAAAAGAAAACTTATAGTGAGAATGAAATTTTGTATCAAGTAGATGAGTGTACCTAATGTACTCTTGCACTTCATCGCAATTGAATAAAATGTAGCCGTGAGCTTGGTTTAGAGACTTATGATCAAGGGAAATTAGTTTATTTACCCCTATTGGATGACCTATGTTTGGAGTATCATCACTATTTCGTGCCATTCTATTCATCCTTGTGTCTACAGCACTAGACAAATATCTTTAACAAAATGTTAGAGATTCTTTAACTAAGTATGCTTCAGCGATAGAACCCTCTGGACGACTCCTATTACGAACAAAAGATTTTAAATCACCCAAATATATTTCCATATAATACTTCCATCTAAATTGAACTGGTCCACCCAATCTGACTTCATTTTCCAGGTGAATTGGTAAGTGAACCATTATGTCAAAGAAACTCGAAGGGAAGATACGCTCGAATTGGCAAAGTGTTTCAGCAATTTCTACTTCCAAGTAATCCAATGATTTCACATCTATAACCTTCTGGCATAAACACCGAAAAAATGAACAAAGTCGAAGCAAAGGGATAACAATTTGATTAGGGCCTATCCCTCTTATTGCTACTTGCAACAAGTAATGCAATATAATATGAGCATCATGACTCTTGTATCCAGAAACTTTTCCTTCATTAACTTGAACACATCGAGAAATATTGGATGCAAGGCCATCAGGAAGTTTTACTGTCTTTAAAACATTACAAAAAATAGTTTTCTCTTGCTTTGTTAGGGAGAAACATGCCTTAGGGATTTGAGTTTTCTTACCATCACTTGTTTCCTTCAAATGGAGTTTTTTTTCTAATCCCCATGTGTTGTAGGTCCAAACGAGCTTTTGCATGATCCTTTTTCTTCCCTTCAATATCTAAGAGAGTCCCCATTATATTATCACAAATGTTCTTTTCTGTATGCATAACATCTACATTATGGCGCAAAGAATTATCCTTCCAATATGGTAATTGCCAAAAGATAGACTTTTTCTTCCATGGACCAGGCCTTTTTTTATGATATTTTTGCCCCACTACGTCAGGAATCTTTTCTAAGTCTTTTAAAATCATTGTTGAATTTAACAAGGAGGGTGCAGGCCTATATTCTGGCTTTCCATCAAAAGAACTTGAATTTGATCTCCAACTATGATTTGAATCCAAAAAGACTCGATGACCCATATAACACATCTTTCGACTATGTTTTAAGTATCTTGAAGAAGTTTTATGATTACAAGCAGGACAAGCAAACTTCCCTTTAGTACTCCAACCGGATAACATAGCATATGCAGGGAAGTCATTCACAGTCCACATAAGAGCTGCACGCATTTGAAATGATTGATTTTTTGAAATATCATATGTTTCTACACCGACTTCCCACAATATATTAAGCTCCTCAATAAGTGGCTGCAAATACACATCAATTTCATTTCCGGGTGACTTTGGTCCAGGAATAAGTAACGACATCAAACAATTTTCAGCCTTCATGCACAAATTTGGCGGATAGTTATATACTGTTAATACAATATGCCATGTGCTATGTGAAAGACTCATGGTCCTAAATGGATTAAACCCATCACTTGCCAACCCAAGTCTGATGTTACGAGTTTCACGAGCAAAATCTGAATGTTTGGTATCAAAGTCTTTCCATGCTTGGGCATCAGCTGGATGCCTTAACTTCCCATCCCTTGAACGATGGTTTGCGTGCCACCGCAATGTATCAGCTGTCTTTGAACACATAAAAAGTCTTTTCAATCTTGGAATCAATGGAAAATGTCTTAGAACTTTGGCGGGAACCTTATGAGCTTTTATAGATTCTTCAAGATCATTAGCAACTTCAGGATATTCAATCCACCTTGACGTGCCACAAATATGACATGAATCATCTTTCTCGTGATCTTTCCAAAACAACATGCAGTTGTTCGGACATGCGTCAATCTTTTTATAGTCTAAGCCCAAATCTTTTATCATAGATTTTGTTTTATTGAAAGAGACAGGGATGTTCAAATCTGGCATAGCCTCTTTTAACAACTCTACGAGAGCAGTGAATGATGCATTACTCCATCCATGGAGACATTTTAACAAATAAATTCGAATAGTGAATGATAACGAGGAAAACTTTTCACAACCAGGATACAACTCTTGATTTGCATCATCAACTAGTTTATAAAATTTCTTTGCATCTTAATTTATCCCTTCATGTACTCCACCTCCTTCAGCCACATCTTTAAATGTCTCAAATAGTAAGCCATCGATATCATCATGAGATGATGTTTCATCATCACTATCACCATCAAGATCTATAAGACTCTCATCTTCACCATGATAAATCCATTCAGTGTATCCCTTTACAAATCCTTTACTACATAAATGGTCATACACTACATCTCTTACTTCCCAACTATCATTGCAACATACAGAACAAGGACACAAAATCTCTTCTTCTTCAACCATTCCTTTGGTGAATGCAATATCCAAAAAGTAATTTACACCGTCCTTATAACTTTGACTGTATGGAGGTAACTCCACCCAATCCTTCTTTATCATGTTTGCTTTTCTAAAATGAAATAAATTATACATTACTCTTTATCATATAAAGGATGGAAAAACACCATGGTTCATATATCAACGTAGCTTTTACAAAGGCATAGTTATTATAAAAATTTCATTTATAATCTAAATATACACTAAACATGCATTCCAATACCAAACATAGAATAAATTTGTGAACTTTTAATCTAAACATGCACAAACATTTCATAGTCTAATATAATATGTATTTGTTGTTTCTTTTCAAACTATATAATATGTATCTGTTACCTGAATTCTTTCAACTTGATTCCAGCAGTAATAGAAACTAAAATCTTGTCCTTAGTTACAAGCGACTTCGATTTCAACACAACTTCCTTCACTGTAACAACAACAACAAATCTAGTAAATGAAACGGAAAAACCAAGAAAGCGCGCTAAGCGCAGTCTGTGAAACCAGAAAAACCAAAATATTATCAGTTCTGTCATGGAGTCCCAAATCCCTAACTCTACACTTCAATCCAATTACTCACAACATATAGATATGAAATACAATACATTTACATGTTATTATTCAATTAGAAGCAACATGTAATAAGTATCTCAAAAACTTTCAATGGTATGGTGGAAAATTTATATTTCTTACGGTTATATTTTGGTTCTGTTGAATAGTTTCAAATCTTTAAAATCAAACATTGATAACACAGTAATAGTAGGTGTATGTTATGATAGCATAGTAATAGTAAGTGTATATTTTACGTGATGTTGTTAGCAAGACATACCTATGTTTCAAATGAGAATAAGCTATAGCAAACACGTGCATATACATCATGGTCATCACTAGTTAGGACCAAATGAAACATATATGCTACACATACACACACGTAGTAGTAACTGTAATAGTGTACCAGTGGAAATGAGAATAAGCTATAGCAAACACATGCATATACATAATCCATATATTACTGCAATGCACCATACACTCTACATCAAATATTACTACAATGTTCATGCAAACATTATTCATACTCATGCCAAAAAGCATGAACACGGTGGACATCATATATCAAAGGTAAGTTAACCACGATGAAAAAAGATCCCAGTTTTTTTACTGAGCTAATTGAACACATTGAGAACAACACAACTAGTGATCATTGATGGATCCGCAAGTAAGCCGTCATAAAGTTGTTGTCATTGTCGAAGCAGTGATGATAGAAGTTATTGTTGGCAGATCGGAGTAGATATAGAAGAGGTGTTACGGGGTTGTTTGTGGGTGGTGCTTGGCGGTTGCTCACTGTTAATGCAAGATGCATTATTTTGGGATGGGGATCACATGGTATTGAAGAGTTCTCTTGTGGCTAATAAACTTCATGCTACTACAATTGCCATATACATATTGAAATAATAAAATAAATTTATACTACTCCT